GTGGAACTTGGCCAGTGGCAAAACAGTCTTGTAGATTTGGAACTTTCCTTCCAACATCACCTGCTTCCTTCATGGGACCCATGTTGTTGATTCCAAAGGACTCAATGTTAGAATGTATTCTTGAATGTTGGGACCAGTTTAAATTAAATGGGCTTAAGAAGAGGAAATTGATGCTTCTATGTAATACTGTTTAGCCTTGGTATTATTTGGAAAAACAAGAAAAATGGCCACCTACTGGAATACAGCCTTGAATACTATACTTCAACTCGATTTGTTTTGTAAGAGGGAAGGGAAAATGGGATGAAATGCCACATGTTCAAGTATTTTTGTTGCTCAGTCAGGAGAAAACCCTGCAGCAGGCATGTGCATGTTTGATGAGAGGAAAGGAAGAAAAAGAACTAGGATAACAGATGATCCCTTGATGCAAGCCCCCCAAGTTCAGTGGGCATTTTTGGGTGGAGCAGAACCTCCTCTGTCAGCTCTGAATATTCAGTGCATTGGCCTCTTCTCCTTTTAGTCCACCTGGAAGTTGTATTGAAACCCCTACATCCCCTTCCCCTTACTTGTCTAGTTCTACTTTATACCCACCACTTCCTGAAGAATCTAGCCTTGCAGGCACTACTTGTAGTGAAGCCTCTTTTTAATCTCCAAAGGGAAATCTTTGTCCACTTAGACAAGTGGCAAACAGAGAAGAAGGCACTGTAAGAGTACATGTCCCCTTTTCTATGTCTGATGTGGCTCTACGTAAAGAGAAGTTTGGCCATTTTTCTGGAAAATTCTGGAAAATTCATAGATGAGTCTGAGTCATTATGTAACTGTTAAGTATGCCAGACTTTAAATCCAGCTGCCTATCTGCCTGAACCCACAGGCACCCTATATCATTTTTTTTTTTTTTTTTGAGATGAAGTCTTGCTCTTGTTCCCCAGGCTGGAGTGCAATGGCATGATCTCGGCTCACTGCAACCTCCGCCTCCCGGATTCAAGTGATTCTCCTTCCTCAGCCTCCTGAATAGCTGGGATTACAGGTGCCTACCACCACGTCCAGCTAATTTTTATATTTTTAGTAGAGATGGGGTTTCACCATATTGGCCAGGCTGGTCTTGAACTCCTGACCTCAGGTGATCTGCCTACCTCGGCCTCCCACAGTGCTGGGATTACAGGTGTGAGCCACCGCACCCTGCCAATCATTCTTGTAAACAAGTTACGGAGCAAATTTATTGCAGCTGGCCAAATTGAAAGGCTAAGCCTCTAGATAAGCCTGAAGTAGAATGTCTTACAGATGGAAGTAGCTTTGTGCACCAGGGAAACAGAAAACCTGGGTATGCAGTTGTCAGTCAACATGAGGTAATTGAATAGAAGCCTTACCAGCTTCTACTTTGGCTCAAAAAGAATTAGTAGCTCTTACTAGAGCCCTGCAACTGGAAAAGGACTTAAGAATCAACATTTACACTTCCTAGTACTTCATGCTCATGTTGCTATCTGGGAGGAACTGCTAAGGGCTCCTCTGTGCAGCATCACTTGGAAAATTTAAATCTATTAGATGTTGTTTTGCTGCCCAAGAAGTAGGTGTAATCTGTTTCAGAAGGCATCAAAAATGAGACTGTAGTGTGACAAAGGGAAACTCCTTTGCAGATGCTGCAGCTAAGGCTGCTGCATTAATGGAGCCAGTTGGACTTGTAGGCATATTAGTGCCTACCAGCCCAGTAATGACAGAACCGAGATATACCGAAAGAAATAAGAATGTGCTAAAGGTCAGAGTTTAATTCAAGATTCTTCTGGCTGGGTAATCAGTGACAACAAACTGTTGATCCTGGGTGCTAATCAGTGGGAAATAGTTAAGCATTTGCATGATTCTACTCATTTGCGAAGAGATTCTCAATTTCAGTTAATGTCCCATCTTTTTTAAGTAAAAGGTTTATTTAAAACAGTAAAGCAGGTAACTTGGGCCTGTAAAGTCTGTGCCCAGAATAATCTGAATAACCAATCTTTACCTCCTTCTTCAGTAAGGCTTGTTCAGCTTAGGGGAACATGCCCCACTGAAGACTGGCAAGTAGACTATACTCAGATTATCCCATGTAAAGGGTTTAATATTTAGTTATTCATCGACACCTTTACCAGTAGGATTGAGGCTTTCCCTACCTGGTCTGAAAAGACAATTGAGGTTTCTAAACTGCCATTGAAGGAAACAATTCCTAGATTTGGCTTGCCTAAGAGATTGCAGAGTGATAATGACCCATCTTTCACAGTGACAATACTCCAAAATATATCTTCAGGCCTAGGAATCCAGTACTGCCTTCATTTAGTGTGGAGGCCGCAGTTTTCAGGGAAAGTAGAAAGAGCCCAATCAAACGCTAAAAAGGACTCTTTCTAAACTATAACAGGAAACATCAGCAACCTGGCTGTCTTTATTGCCTGTAGCCTTGTTACAGGTTCCAGTGGCCCCCTCCAAGGGAAATCTGCAGCTCAGTCCTTTTGAAATAATGTATGGAAGGCCTTCTTAACTACAGACTTCCTGATAGACACTTTCACGCTACAAAGTTATGTAATCAACACAGGACAAGTGCAAAAGACACTCCTTGGATACGGAAACCAAAGACTCCTTCCCCAACTAAGGAAGAGAATCCTATTTTAACCCAGCTGGGAGGTTGTATCCCATTAAAAACTTGGGAGGAAGGATCTCCAGCAGATCAACTTTCCCCCAAATGGAAGGGACCCTAGCAAGTTCTTCTTAGTATCCCAACTGCAGTTAAACTTCTAGGAATAAACAACTGGGTCCACTTATCTTGAATTAAACTTGTTTCTTATGACGTCCCACAGGTCGACCGAACACAAGACACTAATACCACTTACTCCCGTGAATCAACCAGTGACCTCTGGCTCCTGTTCAAAATAAACAAAAGGGATTGGTAACACAAAGACAGGGATTGGCATCCTACTTTTGGGTATAAGTTGGAATCACACAGAGAGTAACTTATTTGCTGAGTGGGCACAGACTTTAATTTCTCTACACAATCGGACAAACTGTTGAGTATGTGGAGAACTGCCACTTTCCTCTACTTCTGGTTTGCCCTCGCATATTCAACTGGCCAACCTAAGTTTATGGGGACTTTATTATGATTGGGAAACTGAATATTGTAAACATATTCTCTCTTTTCCCATGTACGATAGCCACACAGACCTTAGTCCTTTCCTTTCCTATGGAGAGAAAAAAAAGGCACTTTTTCATGTCATTAGGAAACAGCTAAACTCCACCCCAACTTTAGGTTATACTGTACATGATGGACTTAGGCAGATGACAGCTGTTCAAGTACTGGTATCAGGCAAAGGATCTCTATGTTTTGAAAGGTGCAATAATAGTCACCACCACACTGGAACACATGATGTCGGATGGTTGCCGCCTCAACAATGTAATCAGAGCCTTCTTTTAACAGACCATATTTGGTTGGGATGGCAACATAATTCACCAAAAATGGGTGCCTACCCTTCCCTTTGGGGATGGTTATAGGCTTGTGGAACCCATGGCTTGGCCATACTTTTACTTTATAATTGGACTGGACAGTGTATGTGGGGTCATCCTTATCTCCCAGGACATATCCTCACCAAATTGAACCCTCTCTCATCTAACTGGGAAATTGTAAAGGCTCGGCGTACGTGACAAAAATGGGCATTTTTGTGGTTCTACCTGTAGGCTATATTTTCCTCACAGGTGCCATGATGGATATCGAGCTGCAAGTCGAAGCCCTAGCCAAGCACATGGCTGCAACTTTCAATAATACTTACCATGCCTTACCTTCCTAACTTAGGAAACTTCTCAGATTAGGCAGGTGACCTTACAAAATTATATGAGTTTGGAATTTTAACAGCAGCCTGAGGGGAAACTTGTGCTTTGTTCAAAACTGAATGTTGTGTGTATGTTCTGGACAGTACACTTAATATTACCCAGTCTATGAAAGCTTTAGACACTCATATCTCTGTCATTGATGCGCTATCAGTCGACCCTATATCAGCTTGGTTCCAAAAACTGCCCAGTTCTCGGCAAGCCTTCCTGTTTAGTTTACTTGGGATGATTTCACTATTTTGCCTTGCTGTTGTGAACATACTGCTGTTGTACTTTTTGTGTAGGAATGCAAGATGAGCTTACTCAACGCTTTCTTAAATTGAACACTTACTAATCTTCCAGATATCCCTTTTGCTGGGACTCAGAGTTACAAATGGCCCTCACCATACTGATGCTTTCTGACTGAGCTCCTCTCTACCGTCCTTTCTACCTGAATATGAGACCCTAATAGGTAGGTAGGAATATCATTGCCCCTGTTCAGCATGAAGTTACAGAAGATGGATCTTCATTCTTCTGCAACCCCGATTACGGGTCCTCTTGTAAAAGGGATGGGGGAAATATGTCAGAAGCATTCGAACCAGAGTGACTCCATCTTGAATGTGACTCCATCTAGAAGAATAAGGCTGGGACTTGCTGGGCTGCATTCCCAGGGGGTTAGGTATTCCTAGCCTCTAGATATTTAAGGTTAAGGGAACAGATTAAAAATGTTTACTAAACAGACCCACGTCCAGGAATGACCAATATCCTGACATCTTGAGAACAAAGACATTCCTAATTTTGCTTTAAACAGAATAATATCAATTCTTGCAAAATATAGTATTTGAGAAAATTAGTCCTTTATCACAAACCCTTGTAATAGAGCACATGTCCCTGTGATTTTTGTTGTTGTTGTTGTTGTTGTCCTATATATAAACAAGCACTGTACTTACGGTGGGTACATTCCTCCTCTTACTTTTGGGAATGATCTACTCTGTCTATGGACTATTTCGCTCCTTCACTTTCTTAACAACCTTACTTTCACTTTGCACTGTGGACTCATCTCGAACTTTTTCTTGCACAAGATCCAAGAATCCTCTCTTGGGGTCTGGATCAGGACCCTTTGTTGGTTACAGAAACAGACAGACAAAGGAGTGGAAAAACAAAAGGGATAAGCAGAAAATAGCAAATTTGAATATATCATTTTATATCTTTTTTATCAGTCGCTTAGTCCCGAGAATAGATCAGTTCAGTTAAACAGCTATGTCCCATTCCAGGAGGTGGCATTACAGATGGGTTAGGACTCTATATATGAAGCAGGCAAACAGATTTTTAATAAAAGGTGTTTCTACGAAAACAGAAGAGAAACAAAGGTTAATATCTACTGTAGACTATACACTAGTTTTTTGAGAGTCTCTGTAGTTCTTCAGATTGTAGTGTTAATCTGACAGAGTCTCCTAGTTGTAGTTTAAATCAGGTGTCGCAGTGAACTTTCTGAGTATTCCATACATCAACAAGCATAAAGGTTGTTTATATATAAGTTGCTATAGTGATTTTTCCCATAGTTTCTTTAACTTGTCTTACTGCAGTCTGCAGGGCTTCAAGAAAAGCATAGTTTTAACTTCTACTTATTCCAAGTCAGAAAAACAGGAGAAAAAAATTTAAATGTTAGCTTGGAGACTTGTAGCCAGGAAAGAATTCAAGATTTAGTTCAAATGTAGGCAAATAATTAAAACTTAAAAACAATGGACAAAGCTAGAATCTAACAACAGGTACTCTATCATTTTCTTCTGAAACATAATTTTCTCTCTCCAGTCCCCCTTTTCTACTAAAGGCAAATCATAGTAGGACTAATTTATTTGCAAATAAGTTTTAGTTTTATTATATTTGGCCTGATTATTTGCATAAAGTACAGCAAAAATAGTGTTCACCACATAGAGACTCTTTTAAAGTTTGGCTTTGTTGGAACTTTTTCATAAGGAATTTCACATTCAACTTTTTAAAACTCTCAAGACTAAGAAGCCAAGACAAGGATTCACCATCAGACTGTACTTGTAATTCCTGTGTAAGTTGGATACACTCCTCTCTTGTCAAGGTCCTCAAAATATCCTGAGGCTCCTGGGCCTGCCCGAGAGTGACATTCTTTACTACCGCAAGGTCAGGAACCTTGTAAGGAAACTGTGTAGACAAGGTACCAAGCTAATTTTTCCAACAGGCTTTTTATAGACTCTATAAAGTCAACTTGAAATCCTGAAAGCAGTCTGGTCATTAAAAAATTATGCCATTTCAATGAAAGCCTTGGCAAAATAATTAGTGTATCTAACTGTGTTCTGTTACAAAAGAAAACAGATTCTTATTAAATTTGTACAAATAACTATATTGCCAAAAGTGAAGAATACTCACAAATACTTTCCAAATTCTGGAGACATCAGGTAGACAGAAAAGTTAGTGTTTCAATTGTTCTCACAAAAGTGTAATTTATCCAATTACTGTAAGCTATGAACAGCTCAAAAGAAAAAATAATTTTCTTGAATCTGGAAAACAAAACATAAAAACTATCAGCAATGTTTCAAACCAAAAAAAGGTTATGAAAATATTATTTTGGCATTTTATCAGTTCAGCCCCATGTAATTAACTTTTATACTGCTTGATGTTGGATTAGCAATCTTCATTAATTTATTAGCTTTTACAAAATTATTTTAGAAGTTTTTAACTAGTCCAATGGTGTGAATTCCAAAGTTATCAGAAAACTGTGTTTAAGAGTACTTGCCAGGGCCCTTTCCATGTTTTTTTTTTTTTTTTTTTTTTTTTGAACAAGTAAATTTTAGACTGTAGCCAATTACAAACCACTTTTGAAATGAATCCAAGTAAAACAACAATCATCTGTGAATGACAAAAGACTTAGAAGAGCCATGATTACTGATGCAACTGACAAGGAAATTTCATTATTTCTGTGGTATACAATAATTTAACAGGATAACAATTATTACTAATAACATATAACAAGATCTATCAACATTTTAGCAATATGATACAATTTTGGGATACATATTAATAACAGATTTATACAAATATAACTCAGATAAAATTAAGCAACATTTTTCATTTGATCAGCTTTCTGTATGATTTTAATATACCAAATTAGCCTAATATGTTTCTCTTGGACTTCCAGGGGTCCTATTTGGACTTCCAAAGGTTTTAATTCCCAAAAGTTAGCTTGAGGTCAAAAACATTTAATTTAGAATTTTAAATTTGATTTTGGAAAGTTTGTCAAATATCAGAGGTTTAAAATACTTGATCAAAATAAGATTACAGGTCACTGTAAGATAATAGTTATTCATTTAGCCAAAGTGATAATTCAAAAATTTCAAAAAGCAAAAACTTTACTCTTTGACAGAGAGGAGACTCAGTTTTCCAAACTTCAAAAGACATAATAAAAACAGCATTAGGGAAATTATCTCCTCTTATTATTAGTATTTTTGCAGTTTACTCAAAAGATAAACAAAAATCTTTTACTATGTCTTATTAATATATACAAAAATCTTGTTCAAAAGAGAAATCCAAATTCTAACTTTGTGCCAGTGTATTATAAATGCTAAAGCTAATGTTAATAAAGCCTTATAAACAGATCAATCCAACTGCAATTGTTTTCTTTTCCTTTTTTTATTTTTGTGTTTTTGAGACAGGGTCTTACTTTGTCACCCAGGCTAGAGTGCAGTGGTGCAATCTTGGCTTACTGCAACCTTTGACCCCTGGGCTCAAGCGATTGTCCCGTGTCAGCCCCCCAAGTAGCTGGGACTACAAGTGTGTACTACCATGCCAAGCTAATTCCTTTTGTATTTTTGGTAGTGAGAGAGTTTCACTATGTTGCCCAGGATGGTCTCAAACTCCTGAACTCAAGTGATCTGCCCATCTCAGCCTCCCAAAGTGCTGGGATTACAGATGTTAGCCATTGCATCCAGCCTACAATTGGTTTTGACTGCACAAGAAAAAACATAAAAGGGTTCCATGAACCTTTTATAACCTCTTATAATTGTTACCGTTTTATTTCTTTCCTCAATTTTCTATGTCCATTCACTTTCAGGTCCTTAAAAAAATAGCAGAGATAGTGTAAACCTGTCTGACAAACAGACCCAGAAAAAAATATCTAAATTAAATTCAGAAGATGTTTCCATTTTATTTTACCCCAAATTTTAAACTATCTTCATTTACCACAGATCACTAATGCCTTGTGAACTTGAAAAGCATTTGGGCTTATTTACTTAATTTATGAGTACTCATTTATTTATGTCAAGTTGCTACCATACAGGCAATATATAAACATAGACACATATCCATAAATTATAAACACAAATACTTTATATCATTTTTTCTTTTTTTGAGACAGAGTTTCACTCTTACTGCCCAGGCTGGAGTGCAATGGTGCAATCTCGTTTTACTGCAACCTCCGTCTCCCGGGTTCAAGCCATTCTCCCGCCTCAGCCTCCCGAGTAGCTGGGATTATAGGTGTGTGTCATCATGCCTGGCTAATTTTTGTATTTTTAGTAGAGATGCATTTTTAGTAGAGATATTTTTAGTTTCCCCATGTTGGCCAGGCTGGTCTTGAACTCCTGACCTCAGGTGATCTGCCCCCCTTGGTCTCCAAAAGTGATAGGATTACAGGCATGAGCCACCGCACCTGGCCTATGTCTTTAAAATTTTAGCCATGAGACCAGTAAAACTCGTTAGTTCAAAAGGACAGTTGAATTCAAATGCAGCTTTGTAAATGGAAAGGTTACAGTTTGTCTGTCCTTCATGGCTGAAGATCTTACCAAGTTTTAAGAAAAACAGCATAGCAAATTTACATCTCAAAACAGAGAAAATTAATTTAAGCATTTTCAAGAAGTTTGGGTATGTTAGAGAAAGATTAAAAATGAACAAGTGATATAGTTTGAGTATTTGTCCCCTTCAAATCTCATGTTGAAATGTTATCCCCAGGGTTGGAGGTTGGGTCAAGAAGGAGGTTTTTGGGTCATGGTGGCAGGTCCCTCATGAATGGCTTGGTGCTGTCCTTGTGGTAATGAGTGAATTCTTGTTCCATTAGCTCATGTGAGAGCTGGTTTTAAAAAGAGTCTAGTGTCTTTCCCACCTTTCTCTTGCTACTTTTTTGGCCATGTGATATGCCTGCTCCTCCTCTTCGCCTTTCACTGTGATTGTAAGCTTATTTTTATTTTCTTTCTTTCTATTTCTTTTCTTTTCTTTTCTTTTTTGAGATGAAATGTCACTCTGTTGCCCAGGCTAGAGTACAGTGGTGTGATCTCAGCTCACTGCAACCTCTGCCTCCCAAGTTCAAGCGATCCTCCTGCCTCAGTCTCCTGAGTGGCAGGGATTACAGACACATACCACCATGCCCAGCTAATTTTTGTATTTTTAGTAGAGTAGGGGGTTTCACCATGTTGGCCAGGCTGGTCTTGAGCTCCTGACCTCAAATGATCCATCCATCTCTGCCTCCCAAAGTGCTGATTACAGGCATGAGCCTCCGCACCCGGCCAATTGTAAACTTCTTGAGGTCGTCACCAGAAGCAGATGCTGGCATCATGCTTCTTGTACAGCCTGCAAAATAGTGAGCCAAATAAACTTCCTTCCTTTAAAAATTACCAAGCCTCAGGTATTCCTTGATAGCAACACAAAACAGACAAACACACCAATGTAACATAAAATTATAGAAATTCCCATAGGATGTTAAAAAGAAAGATACAAATGAGCATAGAGGAAATTCAGAAGCCTTTTAAAAATAACTAGCTAAGCCTGTGCAACATGGTATAAAACTTTGTCTCTACAAAAGCAACAAAATTAGCCAGGCATGGTGGTGTGTGCCTGTAATAGCAGCTACCTGAGAGACTGAGGTAGGAGGATGAGGACAGTGCTTGAGCCCAGGAAGTTGAGGCTGCAGTGAGCTGTGATTGTGTGACTGCATTCCAGCCTGGACAACAGAGTAAGACCCAATCTGATATGGTCTGGATATTTGTCCCCACCCAAATCTCATGTTGAAATGTAATAACTGGTGGGAGGTATTTGGATCATGGGGGCAGGTCCCTCACGAATGGCTGGTGCCATCCCCTTGGTGCCAAGTGAGTTTTTGCAAGATCTGGTCATTTTAAAGTATGTGGCACCTCCCCCCCCACTCTCTTTCTCTTATTTCTGCTTTTGCCTTAAGATGTGCCTTTGCCTTTCACCATGATTGTAAGCTTCCTAAGGACTCCTCAGAAGCAAATGCTGGCACTATGCTTCTTGTACAGCCTGCAGCACTGTGAACCAACTAAACCTCTTATAAATTACCCAGTCTCAGATATTTCTTTATAGCAACTGAAGAATGGCCTAATACACCGTCGCGGGGGAGGGGAAAACAAAAACCCAAAACCAAAACCAAAACCAAAAACAAACACCTAAATGTCAGAAAGTCATATTTTGGAGACCAATCTAGTCATATTGGTAGCTTCTAATTTAGTCTCTGTTTTCTACTTAGACCACTGGGCTCAGGGCAGAGCCCATTAAGGAACAGGGCAAACAAAGCATTTGCAGTTTTTAGGGCCTAATATTTGTATATGTAAAAAGTAGGCACAGCTGGAAGATAGAGCATCTAGAGTTTTAAACATCAAGGATTCCACTTTTACACTGAACCCTGGGCCCCCCACAAAAGAGAGAAACACCAAAGGACTGGGCTGCACAGTGTTTCCAGAGTACACTTCACTACAAATATGTCACCCTGAAGCTGGTGGGTGTGTGTGAGGCATTAGTGAGAGTGACATATTGTGCGTGAGGCATTAGTGGGTGGGGGACCCATACCAATCAGCCCATTCTGTGATCAGCCCATCCACCATGGAAGAGTTATTCCTTGGTTGTGAGTATTCCCACAGTCTCCATCTGTTCAACTATGCCTTTTTTATAGAATAGAGCAAAGAAACAAGTAGCCTGTATACAGTAGTAACTATTAATTACAACCACTGTCAGCTACCTCCAGAACTGCAGCCCTCACTAGTGACCCATCAGCCATTGCACACACAAGGTCAAATTCTCTAATAGGTCAAAGTAATTCCTTGAACCCCCAAAGCCAAAGAGACCAGGTAATGCAATGCAAAGGAGAGCGGAGCTTTAGACCTGATAAGAACTTGCCCATGACTCTTCAAACTCTACAGGAAGACAGAAGACCATCTCTCCAAAGTGGGTGAGTGGCAACTTTTTCTGTTTCTTTCAGGGTCTTTAGACATCCCCACAAGATCCTTTTATGTGATATTCAAGACAGCAAAGAGAAAGGAGGAACAAAAAGTCAATGAAGTTTTACACTTTTCTCAACAAAAATCATACCACAAGAAATGAAGCAAACAAAAATACCAAATATATAATGAAAAGGAATTTCAGTAAACTAGAAAAATCCTCAGAAACAGGATCCCAAAGAAAAAAGGCAGGAAGGCCTTTAAATATATTTATTTATATAAATATATTTTTGCAGATTTATATACATATATTTATCTAAATATATTTTTGCATATTTATATATATTTATATATTATAATAATACATTTATATATTATACAATATAAAAATATTTAACTTATATATTTTATAATATTTATATATTATGTTACATATAAGTATATAATATTTTACATTAATAGAATATATAAATAGAATGTAATATATAAATATAAAACTATATATTTATAATGTAATATAAATTAAATTAAATACAAATTAAACATATTTATATAAATATATAGGTGTGTAATATATTTATATAAATATATAAATATATATTAAATATATACCTATATATTTAATGTAATTATAATATAATATAAATATATGTATATTATATAGTTATGTATATAACTATATATTCAACATATACGTTGAATATTAGCTTTTAATTAAGCTGACTTCTGATCATAGAGCTTTTTAAAAATATATTTTCAGATCTTTTATTATCAGATTTTAGCTGGGACAAATAGCTGATACTCCTGACTTTTAAACTTTTTTACCAAAGGTAACTTTGCAAGTTACTCAACAATTTAACTAAGGACACATGAGGTGTCTCCAAAGAGGTACAAAGCAGTCTTCACAAGATACAGATGCATTCAAAGACAGCTCAAAGAAAATACAGTTTCAGTAGCCGCAAACGGGATTCAACCCACATCTGTCCAGCCATATTCTCTAGTGTCTCAACTTCTCAGCTGACTGTCCACACACGAAGGCCCAAAAGCCTCATACGCCCCCACAGATGGAAGGAGGCAGAAAATCAAAAGCTGTCCATGAAAGGGAAAAGGATCAACAACAAATGGGTACCCCAAAAAGCCAAAAGTCACACAAATATCAAACCAAAAGGTACTGGTTCCCTAACTGGTAATCAAACCCAGACCACAGTAGTGAAAGCACAGAATTTTAACTACTGGACTGAAAGGTGGAGCAGCTTTATTGTGAATCCTATAGACAGTTTGAGCATATATATTATGATTTTCACTTTGTGTTAGGTTAGATTTTCACTTTGTAATTTTGTCAAGAGAATTTCTAAGGTTAGCCATGACACTATTATATGTCTTTATTTTAATTTGTTCTGTCTAGAAACACAAAGAAGGCAATTGTTTAGAACCAAGCAACAAGGGTTGAGATGACAAAAGCCCACAGAGATGGGACTTTTTAAGACAAACTCCCCTGACAGCTTGACACATTCATAACAAAAAGTATGCTAGTTAAAATCTTACATGTCTCATGTCCCAGCCATTTTCAGACTGGTCACCTTATATGACCTGAAAATCATGCCTCATAGATGGTGGAGACCAAGAGAGAGTGCTCTCACTTGGTCACCAGCCACACTTTCAAGGATATAAAACAAGATGAAAGGGGAATCTCATATGGTTTTTATTTTTGGGGCCCACAACAAAGTTTATAAGCTGTTCTGGTCAGAACTATAATACTAACAGGTCCACAAGGCTTGCTGGAACAATGGGCTTATAAAGGTTTTAGGCCTACGTTCTATCTAATGCTTGGTACCCTTCTTTATGACATAACAACACAGAAAGACAAAGAAAGAAAAAGTTGATTTCTGGGACAAAAAGGATCAAATAATATGAATACTTAAACCAAAAATTACACCAGAGTCACAACACCCAAGACTAGTCACACAAATCCTTTTCTCCCATTAATCAAGATTTTGCAGAGAAAAAAGAGACAAACAGGGATTTTAACTGTCAACTTGATCAGATTCCACAGAAAGAGAGGCCAGAAGCTTGGCTGGTAAGAAATTCTTGTTCTTCTGGCAGCTAGTCAGGTCCTGGGTTCCCTTCACTGTGGCTTGTAGAAGAGCAGAACAGTTTTGGTATCCTGCTCACAGCACCAAAACCGTAGGAGCCAAGCAAAAACTTCCCCTTTGCCCTCTGAAGGTCCGCTGAAAAATCAACTGATAAAAGGCAGCTTAATAGGAGAAATGGCACAGAAATTTATTAACATACCCACAAAGGAGAACCACAGAGTAATTATTCCTCATGTCATTTCTTCTTTTAATTTGTTTTTCTCAGCTGACGTTTCAACAAAATTTCAGAGGGCAAAGGGGAAGCTTTTCCCTGGCCTCTACAATAGGAATTCATTCATTCGCTTGTTCATTCAACAAATATTGATTTTGTGTCTACTTTGTGCCAGACACTGTTCCAGGTGCTGAGGATATGCAAGGGTGTGAGATTGGTAGGTTGGAGGAATATGAGACATGAACAAGGAAAACAAGTTCAGTGGCTATTGTAGAAATTCTGGTGAGAAATGATGGTGTCTAGTAATGTAGTGGTAGTGGGGTTGGAGAGAAGGGCCACATTGAAGAAATATTTAGGAAGAAGTTGACAGATTGTGTGTGAGGCATTGGTGAGAGGCCAGAGATCAGGATGACTTCCAGGATTTTGGCTTTGGTGCCTCAGCCTGTAAGATTCGGAATACCAGAAGGGAGCAGATGAGGGGACTCTCATTTCTTCCATTTTGCATATTTCATTCGGTACCTGGAGCATCCAAGTGGAGTTCTTCAGAGGAGAGTTAAATTTATGGTGTTGGCACTCAGAGCAATGTTACTTGAGTTAGAGATTTGATAGCTGAAGCCACAGGAAGAAATGAGATTATTTAGGAAAAGTGAGACAGAAAAGAAGAGAAAATTATCAAATTTAATAGCTGGATTGAAGAAGAGAAATCTGTTTTCTTCATTTACATAGGACTAAAATGACAGAAGCCAGTGGAGAATAGAAGGTTAAAGAGGAAGAGCTTACGAGTGCCCAATGTTGGTTAGGGGCCATGGGAAATCTTTCCCTTTGCCTTCTGAAGTTTTGCTGAAAATCACTGACAAAAGGTAGATTACTAGGAGAAAAGGCATACACATTTATTTGGTTACAGTTATACCTGACACAGGAGCCTTTAGAATGCGGACCCAAAGATATAGAGGAAACTGCCCATTTTTATCGTTAGGTTTAACTAAGTATGGGCAGCTATGTAGAAGTATGATTGGACAAAAAGAGTATGATCTAATGCTAAAGACTGAGTGGGGAAACACAGAAAGGCCTGTCTGTCTAGATTCTTCTTGGCAT